AAAATTATGGTAATAATGAATGGAAATGATTTGATGACTAGAACATCTGGATTAAATTAAAGGAAGAATGAAATTGATGAAAATTCATTGGTGCAAATAAAATTTTACCTTTATTTTGGTCGTCTAGTTTGTACAATGGTCGGAGATGTGATTTTAGGATGTAAACCCGAGCGGCACAAGGTGGAGGGTGGTCTCCATATGGAATCCATATGAAAGCCACCTCTACTATGTGGAAAGTAAATGGAGGGTTATTTTTTCATCCTTCATATTGATTCCATTTGGATTCCATATGAACTCCGCTTTTTCTTAAATCAAATTCCGAAAAACTCGTGCTTTTGAATTTTTAAAAGACAGAGGTCAGATCTTACTGTAATGGATTGAAATATTGTCGAAAAGCTTTACTGAATCATATTGCGTCATTTCAAGCTTTAAAAAAGCAAAAAAGGATAATTTTTTGTGATTTTGTATGAAATTACATACTTCACAAGCGCTTGCAGAAATCACTATTATATGGGGTCGTTTAATTTGAATGAAAATTTTTAATAATTTCTTATGTTTCTCACGCGTGTGATCGAGACTTAGAAATTGCTGTGGTTGCGACTTAATTAAATTAAGTTGTAAATTTTTCAATGGTGTTAGTGTACTTTAATTAAGTCCACTAATACAGCTACAAATCTTGATATAAAAATTGCGAAACATAGAAAAACACGTGGAAAATCGTACCAAAAATCCTTTGAAAAATACTTCCATTAAACCTCCGTTTGACTACCACAAATGGATCCTCCATCCTCCATCAAAACCTCTCAAATGACTTCCATTTGGTGTTAATAAATGCACGTCCCACGGAGGATTTTCGGAGCTTTGGCTCCGTCAAAGTTCCATGATAGTAAGGTTTTCGGAAGATTTTCAAATGGAGGGTGGAACATGGAGGCTCCGTATAGCTTCCATATGGAAGGCAAATGGAGCCTTTGTGCCGCTCGGGAAATAAGTTTGGGACTTAACAGATACTTCAGACGATTTGAATAAATTTGAGGTATTGAAAGAATAATGGATTTTTGGGGGATATTTATGTGGAAATGAGCTTTTTGTTCTGTTTTATGGTAGATGGTTGATGTTGTTGAGCTTCTGGAGCTTTATTTAACAGAATAAAGCAGATTTCTACAGAGAGTTTGTTTAAAATTCACAAATTAAAAGTTTATGAAATTCATTATAATTTATTGCATCTTTTATAATACAGACGCAAGAGTTTCGCATCTCTTTTTACGAAAACTTGAACATTTTGCATCTTTTTCAAATTCGAAAATAAATTCGTTATGAAACTTTTATATTTAAATTTCATTAAGCTTTTTTCATTAAATAAAACTCCAATTCTCTTCTGAGTCATTCCACAAATCGCTACAATATTGTTAATTTAAAAAACATTTCATTTGAGTTCCAAGAAACAGCATTAAACTAAACAGAATAAGACAACAAGTCACAGAACGCTTGCCATTCTTAAAATTCTCCAAGCGATTCCACTTATCAGTCAAAATGTTCCCTTAAGAGTATTTTATTATCTTTCAAGCTTTTCGTCAACGTTCTTCAATTACCATTTATTGCTCATTTTAGTGGAAAAGAAAATATTTCCAGGTTGACAAGAAGAGATTATAATACGAAGTAGTCACATCTCGGACTCTTCAGAGCCATTTAACATCTTGATTTTTGTCGTAAGAAGATGAAAAGGAGTCGTGTAAAAATGATGTTCTGCAAGAAACTTAAAAATAATAATTTTCATGTAATTGAATCAGAAAGAGTCAAAAAGCTCCTTTTTTTAAAATTTGGGCAATTCTCCAGATAAGTTTTTCAAAAAATCATCCGGAGAATCAAATTTTCTAGGAAATTTTCCATTACCAAGCATAACTTTTACATTTAAATCGATGTAAAATGGCAAAAACTATTATATTTTATCTATTTAAGTCTTTGAAAGTAGCCAATAATTAAGTTTTTTCAATTTTTTTTGCAAATTACTGTCAGCAAAAAATGGAATAATCATCCGGAGAATCGAAAATTGAAGAAAAGTAAACACTCATTTTTTATTATGATTATGCAGAAATGTAGTTTTTGAGCTAATCTATCTAACCATAATCATATCCTACTCCAATTATTACTATTTAAAGAGAATTTTTGATTCTTTGGTGGATTTTTTTGCTGACAGTAAAAAAATTAAGCTTTTATTTTGCAAATCCATGAAAAAAATGCAAAGCAAATATTTCATAAAAATCAAATTTTAGTCTTAATTTAACACTTCATGGTTGAATTATTGTTGATTCAGTAAGAATCAATCGTAATTAACAGTTTAAAGTTGCTTTAAGCAATCAAAACAAAGAAATTGACAAGATATTTACAAAAAAAAAATTGAAAGTAAACAGTAAATGACTTTGGATTATAAAAGCTCTTTTTTCAAAAACTCAACTCATCTGGAGAATTGCCCATTTACGTAATATGTGAATGACCGAAATTATTTTTTTTTAATTTTTCATTTTTCAAGACAAGTGGAAAAGAACCAAAAAAAAAGTTGAGACGATTTAATTAAGTTTCATGTAATGTAATTAAGAGCTTTTTCTTGTCCTTTTCCCTCGTCGCAATTGATTAATTTAAAAAAGGAGGACAATTTTTCTTCATTTTCTATTTCTGAAATTCATTGTCGTGCGAGAGAGAAAGAGAGAAAAAGAGAAGTGACGAGAGCAGCGTCTTGATGTTGCCGCTTAAATAAATTAGAAATCAAATAATGTAATCTTCAAGTCTGACGACTGTAAAAACACAAATTATCCTGCATTGTAAATTTTAATTACATTTTTTTTTTATTATTATTTGACCATAAATTGCTCTTGTTTTTCAGCTGTTCTGTCCGTTTTTTATGGTGCTTTAAATGCTTTTTAACATTTCATCTATCCTTGTTCCTTTGTTATGATGATAAAAGTATAAACATTTTTTACATCTTAATTGCAAAATAATTGTCATTTCTTATTTGTTTTATGCTTTGTTGATTCCTGTCCTTATTTTGATCTCCTTGTTGTGGCATTGAATTTATGGAGAAAGGAATGATGCAGGAGGAAGGACGCTTTTGTTAAATGAATGCTCATGAGTTTTATGGTTTAGCTGTTACTTGCCCGAGCAGTGTAGATGGTCGACATAGAACAACACATGGCCTGGTTTTCAAAGCTAATCGAAATACCCTTCACTAGCCACAATCAATGTTTATTTGTTGAGTGTAACAGGATGGATTCTTCAGGTGGTCCTAGTCGTCATTTTGAATTCTTTAAATTTATCCAAAACCTAGCTTTATGATTGCATCCATTTGGTTCACTTAATTTTTTCATGTTTCTTATTTCATTCCATTATCCAAAAAGTAGAACAAAAAGATGAGGCACACAAAAAAGATCTCGTAATAATTTATTATTCATCATTAATGATGAAACATGATGAATACCTTTTTTTTTTGTTCATCGTTGTTGTTCATTAAAAATTTATTAAGTGATGATTTTGCATACAACAAAAAATTTCACTTTTAGCATTACTTAAGTAGAATAATTGATGTTATCCTGCATTGTCATGGAGACAATGAAGATGATGAACATTTTTTTGGGTGTGGGAATAAGCTGACTTAACAATAAGTTAGAAGTCAATTAGAGCTTTTGATTGAATTGTAAGGAAAAGTTTTAAGTAATTTTGTGGATTTTTGTTTTTGTTCATTTTAAGGCTGCATGGAAGGAAGCTGAATTATTGATGAAATCCACACTTACACCATGAAAATACAGCCGATCCTTCTTTGAAACAGTCAGAGCTCTCCCAATTAAACTTCCTCTTAATTATCAAGATTTATTTCATTATTAAGTCACACCATCACCATCATGCTTTCCATAAAATAAAATAATCTCCACACCGATGAAAATATAAACATCAAAAATGATAATTTTTTTATGTCATCGTTTAAAAACAAAGCATCAAAAAATATGAAAAAAGCCTTCAAGTGTTTCAGTTTATTGTGCAGTCGCCGCAAAGCTTTTAATTAAGCCACAATAATATGAGATGTTAATGACTTGATATGAACTGACATTCATTTTAACACATCACATTCATCATAGTCCCTTATCTCTTTGTCTCTTTTTTAAACTATAAATTTTGTTTAAATTAAGTGAGAAAATGTTCAGGTTTTGATGAAGGCTTGCTGGGAAAATGAGAGGATACTTTGAGGTTTGGTGAATTTTTGTACATTAAGAATTTTTACTGGTTTATTGGGCTTGGTTGGCTAGTAAGACCCTTGTCTCAAATTTTATCTGAAAAACATTTTATTTTGTGTCAACTGTCGTTAAATCTCAAAACTTCCGTGTGCGCTACAAAAAAAAATTTTTAATGGAAATGCTAATATTTCTTACATTAGATTAATAGGATTTGAACCTTCATTGAATTAATTTCGAACATTAATTCATCATTTTATATTTACTCATACCTTGCCTAAACCTGCATTACATACTCGCTAGATAACACCACAACATTCATTATATTTACTATAATAAACTTCTACAGACATACAGTTATGATATAATTTACGACATTGATGATATAACACATTATTCTCATACGATCCATAGGTGACTGCATGATAGTCAACATGATTTTTTTTGTGTCACTCATTGTTAATAATGTGAAAATAACTGCAATGTTTCTGATCACCTTGGGGATTTACATGTTATATTTACAGTTATTAGGTGCACATCGAATGATGTGAGTTATGTACTTTTAATTGAAAATTATGATGAAGCGATAATAATTGTTATTTTATTTTCTAAAGCTAGTAAGCTAGTTTATTGTGTAATAGAATGAGTTTTGAGGCGATGGATGTAATGAGATATTGTATGTGTGGCTGGGGTATTGAAATTATTATTGACGTGGAAATTTTCAACACAAAACTTTCTTGTTATTTTAATTAATAATTTATTAAAAACTTTAATATTCGCTTGAATTTTTAAATTCCAATTTCATCATGGAAATTGTCTTTGTTAGACAAAAAGTTTAATTTTCTTCCTAAAGTTTCCCATTTTGGTGATATTGGTTTAGTTTTTTGTTTTCGAATTTCAAGTAACTTGGAAATAATTTTTGAGCGATCGTGAGAATGCTTGTTGCAGTCAGTTCTCTTCCAGTTCTGTCGTTTGATAGAAGGAAAAATATTTTGTGGATTTGGAACAAATTGTGTAAGTTCTGGAAAATCTTTTCTTATTTCTGATGCTTCTACATTGAATATGTCACCCATAGTTTGGAAGAATTCATCCCAAATCACAGCAATATCCTCAGCGAATTCAGCTTCCTTATCATCTTTTAAAATTCCAAATAATCTTTTATTTGATTTCTTTGCCTGGAACGCATTGTTCATCACATATCCCATTTTGAAAAACTTTTCAAAGTAAGCCATAGTTCCTTCAATGACTCTACTTAAATCTGGTTCCTGATCGAAATGAATTCCAGAACCAACGATCTTTTTAATAAAATTGATTACGCAATCTGGTTTGACGAAATCTGGGAAGAATAAAAATTCATTTTGTCATATTTTAATCAAGATAATCTCATTTTAATTCACGGACCGGTTTTCTAGGCTTCTATGAGTACCGTTTTATAAAATAAATCAAAATTAAGTGAAATTTGGCTTTGACTTAGGTATCTAAGTATTATAGTATCTAATATAGCCAAAGAAACAGGCTCAAGTGCTTAACAAGGTGCTTCTTATAATAAGAAGCATTCAATTGTAACAACTACCGATTTAAATGATAACTATTTAAAAGCCATTAATTAAAACTTGTCATTAAGCTTTTATAAATTATCAAAAATATTAATAATAAAATAAATTCTCACCTGTTTGCCCAAAACCGATTTTCTGACCCAAACCACCACGTCTAGAGTTTATCCTCTTCAATAAATTATTATTTTGAAAATAATTTGCTGACCTCGCTAATGCCAAAGCGATTATTGTCAAAAATAAAAATAAATTTATTAGTTTTGTCATGTTTGCGCCTCCCAGCAACTGAATAAAAAGTGATGAATTTAAGCAAAAACCTAAAATCATTTATAGAAAAATTTGAAATTCACTCATTTGAAATTGCCAAATGCATTTTGTTGCAAATAATTGAAAATTATTTTGGGTAATTAATGCATGTCAATAAATTTTGAATATAAATTTTCACTTCAGCGTTATTAATTTTGTATTGGCATTATGGTAATTTGAAATAAAATTGGATTGTTGATAAATTCTGTTGTTGAATGAGGATAACGAAGGAACAATGATTGTTTATTGATTAGTTTTGTTTAGATTTTTAATAATTTGAAGTATTTTTAAATATTTTTCTTGGTTTTTAAAACACTAAAATCGATAACTTGTCATAAATTGTTTGATCTTTAATATCACACTATGGTTTGATTTCACTCCCTTGTGCCAAACCATTATTCATTCCTATCTGGAGTTTATGATAATGAAATTATTTTGTTTCAAAGTGAAAACTAGGATTAAACTAGTCCTAAAATCTTGAGTGCTACAAAGTAAATTTAAGCAAATTTTAAGCTAGTCTACATGAATTTAAAGCTTACCTATAACTTCTGGTTACTATGGCAGGCAACTTAGTACAATAATACATTTTATTTTTAATTTTGTATGAAACAATTTATTAAATTTCATTTCTTAAACATTTCAAAACAACATTTTTCAATCATTTTAATCTTCATATCCATAATCTCCTGCGCTATGTTTTTCACGATCATCATTCGTAACTGAAAGTTGAATATCCTCCTTTTTATCCTTTTGTTTCTTCTCCTTTTTAGTCGGCTTATTTTTCTTAACTTGGTTCAATAAGAAATTCTTCAATACTCCAGCCTTTTTCATTTCACTAATGTCCACGGTGTCAAGCACATAATTCGATAAATCAAGGAGTTCAATTGTTAAATCACCCATCTGAAATCCTTTTGGTTCGTTAATTGTATCTTGACTCAGTCGTTTAAAATATGCTTGAGCAAGTCTTTTATATCGATCTGCAATGTGTTCATTCTTTAGTGGTCTTAAGAGTCTTTCTAGTTTATTCATATAGTTATGAAGGAAGTTTTCCATCCTTGTTATCTTTAATTTCTCAGCATCATAATATTTTGTCTTGCTAGATTTTGTGAGTTCATCATTCTCATCATTAACTTCAATACTATCTTGTTCATTTAAAACTGCTGTTGGACTTATTCCAGAAGGAGCAATATCGGTAGTTCTTGAGAGTCCAGAGTCGACATCAAATTTGATTACTCCTGAAAATAAGATTTTAAAAATTAAATTGAAATTTGTTGAATTTACAAAATTTCCAACCTGGGTTCTCATCACCAATTTCAGCTTCCTCCATTTGTGTCAGCACCAACTGCAATGACAAAGCTAATATTAGAAAAATCACAAAACTTCTCATTTTACTTCTTTTTCAAACAACTCAAAAGTACATTCAAAATAAAATGACAAATATTTTGCACGAAACCAAATCATTTATAGACTCACAAAAAAAAATTCATTTTGTTGCAAAAAATTGAAAATTAATATTGGTAATTAATGCATGTCAATACGTTTTTGCAAACGAAAATTTCTGCTTGAATTTTATTATTTTTGTGCTGTGTTTTTCATGACAAATTTTAATATCGAGAAATAAAATTGCCTTCGAGGTGTGGTGAAAAAATTTCAATATTCGATTCATAATGTTTGTGCGCAAAAAAAAACATTTTGGAAATATCAAAAATTGATATTGGAAATGATGTATAAAATGTTGATGGGAAATCGTCATGGATAAAATGTTGTAACGGAAATATGTTAATCCTGTATCTAGGGGTTAAAAATTATGCATTTCATGTCTATTTTTTGCATTATTGATATCAAAAGATATTTTTAATTGAAAAATATTTAATATGTGCCAACTTTTCAGGACATTCAATATGCTTACTGCAATTGAATCCTTCAGTCAATTGTAAAAATGTCATTAAAGCACATCTGCAACTTTTATGACTCAATTATATGTAAATTTACTAAAATATTCACCCAAAAGCTCAGTTATCTCAATAAATTCTACTCATTTGATAAAAACTCAGTATCAGTACTGTTAAGCTTAACAAATTACAGACTTACAGCAAAAGATCACATTAAAGCAATTTATTTTGCAAACACCATCGAAAATTGTTCATCTCCATACAAAAAAAACGACAATCTTAGTTCATTAGTCGATGGTATAGAAAATATCGCATAATAAAATTCATAGCATAATCTAATCACTGTATCATCATTTCAATTCTTTTCTCTTCCATGTGCTGAACAAAAACACATTAAATGGGATCAGTTTACGAGCGTGTTTATTAGATTTTTTTTTTCTCTCCTTTTTTTATCGCTGATGAAGAGAGAAGAATGGATGAGGAGATAGGAAGAAAAATGAAAGAGACTTAACGTTGTGATTGAAGAGAGAAAATCGACATTATTGTTAGAGATTTATTGATTATTCTTTCCATTTCAGTGCTTCCTTTAAAGTTTAATCCAAATTGTTATGTGTTAAATTAAAGGGATCTTTGTAGGCTCACTATTAAATTGATTCTGTATTGTAGGATAACTGGATAAAGGGTCAGTTAATGAGACAGTAACGTGATCAGAGCTTACAATATATAAATATGTTTTATTTTAACAAAATAAATTGAACTTAAGGTTCAAATTTTAAAGTTTCTTCAACTTTATCTCAAAATAATATTGATTAATCATTCTATGCTGTCCCATAATCATGAATCTATTGTTTTTCAATCTAATTTATCTCCTCAACTGTCCATAGAATCAAAGTAAACAAACTTTTCACTCCAACATAGAGAAAATATCATTAATTTAAAGTCAATATTTGCGAGAATTCACTTCCACGATCCAGACACCATTAATCATGAATGTGATTCTCTTTCTCATTGTTTGTAATCACTAACTATAGAAGAACTTCCCTCATTTCATGAATAATAAATTTTCCACGTCTAAAAATATAAAAGTTCAACATTACACCACAGAACTTGAAAATGAAAATTGTCTGTGCATTATTCACATCCATTCCATTTTATTTTTATTATATTCTACAGAAAAAAAAGCATTTATAAAGATTGATTCGTGAAATTTTGAAAAAGAGTAGATAACAAAAGAGGTTGTAAAACAAAAAAAAAAGGTAGATACAAGCTATAAAAGTGAATTTTGTGATGATTGTACTCTTTTACAGATCAAATCATTTACATCGCAAATTGTATGGAAATATTATTCATTGTTGGATGATAAACATAAAGGAAATGTGTGTTATTTACTGTTGTATTATCATTTTAATGTTCTCACTTGGAACAAGAATAATTTTACATACTTTTTGATGTGAAAAAAGGTTTTGGAATTGATTTGGATGACTGGGTGATTTTATATTCTGAAATATTGATTAAAACTTGCATTTTATATTTGATACTTCAGAAGCAACAACTCAACAACTGCGTCATAAATTTTTTGATCGAGCAATGCCTCACTATACTCAAAATTACATGTTCCATTAATAAAATCACAAAATAAAAGAAAGAAAAAATGAAAATTTTAATATTGAAAAGCATTTTATTTACTCTCTCGAGGTGTAATGTGTAAAGATTATCATGTCTATTGAAAATGACAGTACAATTTTAATGCCTTTACAATCGTTTACGCGATATTGAAATGAGATATGTCATGCAGTATTCTGTGGAGGATTAAAACGAGAATTCGATCTGATTCGAATTTAAATGCGGTTATCATGTACGACAGATGACTTCTTTTGCCTTGTTTTCGTTTTATTTAATTTAATTCTATCTATTTGACATTCAATTCTTGGATTACATAGGCAATTTATGTATTAAGAAATCAAGGTGATTTTTAAATGTGTTTTTTGACTTGCTGTATTATCTATTGATTCAAATCTATATTAATGTAAATATTTTTACATCCCAATTCATTTAGACATCAAAAACATCCGTAAAGGAAATTTCCATCAATTTATTTTTGTCCAACATCCACCACTTGAGTAAATAGACGAACAATGTCATCATTCAAGAAATCAATCCAACCACGCTACGATGAAGACATAAAGCATTGAAAATTATTATTGTCATACTTCTATCTACATTCTGAACTTCAATTCAGGTACAGCAAGCATGCAATTATCGAAATCTATTATTTGTATTTCCTTTCATTTGTGCCATGTCTCCTCACAATCATCAACGTTGAATATCGTTTTGTCAGTATATACATATTATATTTGTCACAAAGATAAAAGCTTTGTGTCTACTAGAGAGCTACAAAAAGCATTTTTCCCTCATTCTTGTTTGATTATTCTGCATTGTTGTCTACAATCTGAAGGTATTTTTATCTTTTTGAGAGAGGAAAAAGTATAAAATAAAGCATATGAGATTGTATTTTGTGTGCATTTTGTTTTATTACACTGAAAATTTGCGACAAACTATAAAATCCAAATAGACGAAGTAACAAAGATAAATAAAATTGTTTGTCATGGCAAACGACCGGTAAAAGTTGAACTTTTGTGTGCTTTATGTTTAAATTTTTTTTATAAACTTTGAGTTGATTGTGTCAGCAACTTTAATGGTTTCGTAGCATTTAAAACATGTTGAAATAATATGCTAAGTAAGTAGGCACTGGCTTGATCATCAATGAGATTTTTGGACCCTATTCAATCATTGTCTTACTGTATTGCTGCCTATAAAATTTCAGAATCTTTTATCCCTTTTATCATGAACGTTATTACTTGATTAAGAAATGTTATTACTTGCTTAAATAATAAAGGTGATTTAAAAATCCAAAAAGTTTTCATCGTCTAATTAAAAACCAGATAAATTTCTGCACAACAATCCCATTTCTTCATCCCTATTTGTTCCATGAAATGTCGACACAAATATTTTCATTCTCCTCATAAAAAAGTATGCAGTGGCTTAATTTTTGTATAAGTTTCTTCATCTCTGGCATTCTGC